AGCCACTTAAATGTGGGAAAACCCTCTGTGTCCCCGGCTTATGCATGCGCTGCACCAGCTCCTCAGCGTCGCGCCTGTCCGAGGGGCGAGGGACCCCTGCCAGGCGCCCAGCGCAGGAGCTGCGATGACATTGACTCGCTTGGGCAAGAAGGCTCATTTGCAGCCCAGGTGTCCTGGGAAAGACACGTCCTTCCCCACGCTACCCCCTGGCAGTGGGTGCAGGCAAAGGATGCCAGGGCTAGGTACGTGCTGGCGAGGAGGCCCAGGGGTCACCGTAACAAGCTACCACGGTGGGTATCGAACCCAGGACCACTGGCGCCTGTTTGCGTGAAGCACGCAGCTCAGATGCAGCAACCACTCATGGGCCAGGCGGATGGGTGCACTCTGCCGTGGGAAAGGCAGGGCGTCTGGCCACGAGCTAGTCCATTGGGGCCCGGTTTTCCAAAGTGCTCAGCTTGGGACACGCTTTGGAAATCCAGCCCTGGGAGTCCCCACCCAAAGGAGCCTGTTCCAAGCCAAACCAGCGAGCCGCCCACACCGTGACACTCGCAGGTTACAGAGATTTGCCTGGCCGGGGGGCTGCAGGCCCCTTTGTGAGCACAGCCCCAGGGGGTGGAAATCCAGGGACACACTTTGTCCCTAGTTGCAGTGAGATGAGGCGTGTGCAGTGCGGCTGCTTGCACTGGGCCTGGGCTGTGTCCTTTACGTTCGCCCGGCGCTGGGCTCTGTCTACCCCGCCTGCCCTGCACAACACAGACAAATCGACAGAGCTAACGAACCCCTTGCTCGCCCTCCCGCCGTCCCAAAGTCTCAGCCCGATCAATCCTCATGACATAAGCTCAGGATCTCAGCGCGGCCCAGAACCAACGTGGCAGTTCGTGCCGGCTTGCAGATGGCGCCGTCCTTGTGCTGAAGGTCGGGAGTGACCGCAGTCAAAGGAAGCCGGCAGCGGGAAGGGCGGAGCGGCACTTGCAGGCAGACTCGGGCCGGGTGCTGGGTCGATGGACAGACAGCGGGGGCTGCTATCCTGCAGTGCAGGGGTAGCTGGCAGCACAGGGACCCTGTCTGTCCACTCAGCAGCTGCTCGAGGCCAAGCCAAACGAGCCCATTAGCTCCAGCCTGGCCTGCCTAGCGCGGCTCCCAGGGATTCCTGCACCGCACGAGAGACGTGCTCAGCCCCGGTCACCTGTGGTCCAGCTACCGTAGCGCAGGCTGGTCCTTCTCGGGCTCCTCTGCTAAGCCAGGTGAGCTCGCGGCCGTGACACCCGCCGGCAGGGCCGGCTTTAGCTGCCAGCCCAGCACGCCCCGCCCGGGGCTGTTCGGGAACTCAGACGCACACGTTCAAACCTGGCTCCCGGGGCGGGTGCTGAGCCCCTCTGGAGGACTGGGCCCTGGGTGTTTCTGCACCTTGGGCCGGTGGGGCCCAGTTTGCTGCGACACCCTCTTTTGTGGCACTGCTAGCATGGGGCTGTTCTGTGAGCGGGGGCTGGATTGGGGCACAGGACACCTGGGTTCTAGCCCCAGTGCTGACCCGGTGTGTGAGCTGGGCAAGTCCCTGTCCCTCTCCGTGCGTCTGCCTCCCCACCCCCCCCCGACTAGTTAGACGGAGCACATCGGGGGCGCCGGGTGCCACGGGGCCTCACTGCGATGCTGACACCAAACAATAATTGGATTTGCGTTTAAATCTCCTAAACCCAGCGGGATGCCTCAGCGGGGGCGGGGCGGAATCAGCAGCAGCGGCTCCGCGTAGGGTTTTTATCACCCACAGCCGGGACAGGGGGAGATTTAGAGGAAGCCGCCAGCCCCAGCAGCTGGGGTGCGGCCTGGCCCGGCACACACCACAGGGACTTTATGGCTGCTCCGGCAGAGGCGTAATGAAGAGCCACCCCTAGGGCTGAGTCAGCTTGGAAGGACACGTCGGACTTTTAGGGCCTCTTCCCACAGGCAGGACGCCAGGGATGACCCCAGGCTGGGGTGCTGCTTCCAGGGCCTATCTGCCACATGTGATGCACGCAGTGCTGGGGGGGAGCACATCACCCCGCACCCTGAGCCCAGTGGGCCAGACTGGAACAGGAGTTTTGCGGCTGCATGAGGTGCAGGGTAGGGGATACAAGGGTGTGACGAAGTGGGACTGTTCTTAATGTTTCCTCTGAATACTGTGTGGGTGCCTCAGTTTCCCCTATGCATTTCTTAAGTCTCTAGGTGGTGGGATAAAGACCAGTGTGCATAAATCACTGACACGCTGTCTCCCTGGCAACAAATGGCCAGGGCCCCTTCCCCCCCTGCAAGGAAATAGCTAAAGGTGAACAAAGAGATCAGGTGGCCTCCTGGCCTGGGAAAGAGACAAAGCCCAGAGGAGGAGGGGCTGGAGGGGGTTTCAGAGTTGGAGCTAACTGGGGACTAGGAGTGAGGGCAGACGTGGGTGTCTGGCTCTCTGAACCCCATAATGGACCCGGCCGGGGGTCCCGTTCGCTGGACCTACAAGCTCTGTTTTAGACCGTGTTCCTGTCATCTAATAAAGCTCTGTTTTCCTGGCTGGCTGAGAGTCACGTCTGACTGCAAAGTGGGGATGCAGGACCCTCTGGCTTCCCCAGGACCCCGCCAGGGCGGACTCGCTGTGGGAAGCGCACGGAGGGGCATATGCTGAATGCTCCAAGGTCAGACCCAGGAAGGTGAAGCCGTGTGAGCTTCTTGCCCTGAAGACAGTCTGCTCCGAGGGAGAGGAGACTCCCCAAAGTCCTGACTGGCTTTGTGGGGAGCAGTTCCAGAGCATCGCCCGGGGACTCCGTGACAAAGGGGCTCTGGCAGTGCTGGCTGTTTGGGTCCCTCTCTGGGGCATTCACCCATCCCCTACTCCCCATGACCTGCCTTTGGTGGCCCCTGAGCCCCACTCCTTCAGCTGACCAGGTGGCGTCGCGAAGGCCCTGCGGCCATGGGCAGAGCCGCTGGCCCTCGCTCCACAGCATGTTCATTCAGGGCCCCGCCGGCTCGGGTGCCGCTGATGCGCTGGTTTCACACTGGAAGCCGCTCCACAGGCCAGAGTTGATAGTGGCTGAAATATGGCCCCATTGCTCCAGCGGGTGAAATACCCGGCAGAACCCGGACTCAGCGCTGCTCTCCCCTGGCCAGGCACAAGGCTCCTGCACCACGGCTTGGCGGGGAGCAGTGCCTTTGGGTGGCTCCAATTCATTCCGCTGGGGGGCTGGGGGCTGCAGGACGCCATCTCTGAGCGGGGGCAGCCTAAGGGCTCACGGGCTGCTCATTTCACTGCGCCCACCTGGGGGCTGGCACAGGTGATTAAACTGGTGCTTGTATCTCTGGTTCCTCTCTGGTGGGTTTATCCCTGACAGGCAGCCGCGGAAGCACGTTGCTCCGTCTGCACTGGGTCCCTCGTCTATTAATGTGTTCTACCCGGAGACTGGCTCTCTTCATTAGCTCCTGTCACTCCAGGGCTATAAAGAACTGTAATTGCTACAAATTGGTGCCCGCTTGGTCTTCAACTCCCCCTCCTCTCCTGGGCTTTGGGGAGTCGCTGTGTGTCTGGGCAGCGCCTGACCCGACAGGGCCCCGATCTCGGTCGCTGTGTGTCTGGGCAGCGCCCGGCCCGACGGGGCCCCGATCTCCGTCACTGTGTGTCTGGGCAGTGCCCGGCCCGACGGGGCCCCGATCTCGGTCGCTGTGTGTCTGGGCAGCGCCC